TTTTAAATATTTTATGCGTAAAATACAATAGTAATGATATTGATATAATTTAATAACATTTACAAATATATATATGTTCTAATATTTTGACTCCCGGCATCTAAATTCATGGAAAATTAAGCTTGAATTTTAAATAAATGATAAAATATATTAAAATGGCACTAAAAAGTGTAAACTGTATATTTTTACACCATTTATCAGACCATACATTAAAAATTTTTCAAGACAATACACCTCTGATAATGAACTGTCCTACATGTTTTTTATACACATAAAATACTTATAATGCATAATATTTTATAAACACTATCAACGATAATTACCTCCACTAGTATCGGGCGTAAGTTTCACTTTTCCTTTGTCTAATACATCATTAAAAGCAGGCCATCCACAGCCACTGTCATATTTGGTATCCGAGCTAAATAAGGGCTGTTCACATACTATGCATACATAAGTGCCAGCATCATAGACTTTGTTGTAACACCCTGATTAACAAACACAAGAAATACAATTGAGCAATACGCCAGAATTAAAAGAAAATGTAACAGAATGTACAAAAATTTGCAGTGTGGTCTGTTTTTCTATAAAACTCCTTCATTTTGCAAAATATAGGAGCAAATAATGAAGTAAAAATCAATTTAGACTCATTTTCTCAAACTAAATACACAATCCAGCTTTTCCTTAAGTCCCTACTGGGCTGGAAATATTTTCTACATTCATATTTTATGAGAAAAATTCACTGTCCTTTTATTTATTTTCTTGTATATCCCTATATACATATAGTTACATCTTATATTTGGTTGAAGTCATATAAAATCACTTACCTGTAAAGGGTCTTTCAGTTCCTTTCTCCTGTGTAACATGATACTGCAGAGGAGTCAATTTTTTCCTAATTTCTTCTTTATCAATTTTTATGTCGTTGGCCATCACAGCAGCTGGAATAAAATCAACGATAAACAATTATTGCAAGTGTGTCAAGTACAATGCAACCTTAATTCATTACCAATACAATAATAGTGATATTTTTAACGCACCTCCAGTATGTAGGTTTTGTTTAATAGTACGGGAAATTAAGCAACAGTAATTGGTTCTGGTTCTTTGGATATTACGCAATACTATTTTTAACATCACATTCAATACTGCAGGATCTGTTCACAACATGAACATTCTCGAAATTCACATAAACTTATATGCTTCAGCTGAATTCAGCTGATTTTATTTATTTTTATCACAAATCTTGCTGTCACTGTCAGTCGAAAGCACACAACATACAATACTTAAATGTGTAGTATATGTTGCCTACCGGTAGGAGTCTAATAAAAATTATCAATTTTTAAGTTTTAATTTTGGTCACGATAAATTTACACGTGTCAGTGAATCGTGATTTTGGTCATATTTTTTCTGAGTCTTTTTGTATGTTCTGTATGCTGTAAAGTTGCTTATCCACAATTCCATAAAAATTGATTGGGAAATTTCCACTATACAATCACATCAAATCCAAGGTTAGTAAAAGACAGGTTGCATGGTAACTATGATATTGACAGAATGAAATATGTTACCGTGTCGTCTACCCAGGGGATCAATTTCACGAAACAGAATATGATCAGTGGTTTGGAGAACATATTTTGTTATTAAATATCGTTAATGTTTTTGTTTATGATTATATATTAAGATATAATGTGTACATAGATATCATTGAGTGTTGTTTATTATATAACGTAGGCCCAAAACTCTTAAATAAGTTTTAAGATACATTAATGTGGTTGCGTTAAATACCTACTTAATCGATTTTATTTCTGCTGTATTATATAGTAAATGTAAAAATGTTTAACATAAATTAATTTAAATATTTTTTGTTGTTAAATGACTGGTGGAAATATTTGCAGGGTAGCAATCTGCAAAAATAATTCAAAATTGTCCAAACAGTTTGGAAGAAATTTAATGTTTTTTACATTTCCAAAAAAATGTAAACATTTAAAAACAGTGAATCAGCAAAGTGTCATAGTAAGGATAAGTGGCCCTGTGTTAATAAAAGATTTTGTTAACTATTCAAAAGATAAACCATTAAACATTCAACCTAAAAGCTTAAAAAAGATGGTGTTAATTCATTGACTTTGAGTTGTGATTGAGTTTTACAAAATAAAGTAAAAAAAAATAACTTTATATACCTAGTTGTAATTTTAACCTTTAAATTTTAGTAATTTCCTCGTTACGTCTACTGCCAAATAAAGATGACATAAAAGAAATAACTATGATATGAAAAAGTATGACCAGGAAAGAAAACATAGATATTGCTGGACATATAATTTTACAGAATACAATACTAAAGAGGAGCATATATGAATAGGTACTTCTACCCAACATTTTCATTTGCCAGAAAAACCTTTATATAATAAAAAACAGAATTAGATATACTAAAAAGAGAATTAAGAAACATGAAAGAAGAAAACGTGAATCTTCAACAGAAACTTCTAGAAAAAGCAGATACTGAAAATAATATTAAATCATAGATTAGAGAACTTGACACAGCTAAACTGGAAAGCGAAACTGAGTTTGAGGAAAAAACAAAACATATTTTTAAAGATTTTTTAACTCCTAATCAACTACAAATAATATTAAAAAGAAAACAAAGGCTCGCCAGCACCAAAAATAATTATCAAGGGTTTTTAACCTAAGGTACTTTAGTACTCTAAAGTACGTTTTGCACTATATGCATTATTCAAAATTCAAAAGTATGTACTCAAAATATTTTAAACAAGTCAATTGTATTCAAATATAGTATATTTGCATGCTTTATTCACATATACAAAAGAAAGAACCTACTTTTAATTTAATTTAGTAGTAGTGTTATTCTATTACATATAATTAGTTGCAATTATATTCTGTCATTTCTATAACTCTATAGGTATCTCCCACATGTTTTAAAGATTGAATGAAATATACAGTCATTAAAATTCCAAACTTATTTTTTTTTAATATGCATAGAATAATTCAATCATTGCTGCTTTTCGAGTTCATTTCAAGGAGTATGATTTTGAATGTAGCATTCTCAGTGACGTCATTCCCGCCATTGGATTCTCGACTCTGATTGGTGTAAAGTTACCAGACAACCTGTCTATTTACTGACCTTGCATCCAAGGTAAGTAAATAGACAAGGTTGCTTGGTAACTTTACACCAATCAACATCGAGATTCAAATCCAAGGTAAGTAAACAGACAGGTTGTCTAGTAACTTTACACCAATCAGCGTCGAGAATCCAATCCAAGGTAAGTAAATAGACAGGTTGTCTGGTAACTTTAGACCAATCAGCGTCGAGAATCTAATCCAAGGTAAGTAAATAGACAGGTTGTCTAATAACTTTAGATCAGTTAGCGTCAAGAATCCAATGGCGGGAATGACGTCACTGGGAATGCTACATTCAAAATCATACTTATTGAAATTAACTCGAAAACAGTAACGACTGAAGATATAATTATTCTATGCATATTAAAAAATAGGTTTGGAATTTTAATAACTGTATGTTTCATTCAATCTTTAAAACATGTGTGAGATATACCAAAAGAGTTATAGAAATGATAGAATATAATTGCAACTAAATATATGTAATAGATTAACACTACTACTAAATTAAATTAAAATTATATTGAGTACATACTTTTGAATTGGGGATAATGCATATAGTGCAAAACGTACTTTAGAGTACTAAAGTACCTTAGGTTAAAAACCCTTGATAATTATTTTTGGGGCTGGCGAGCCTTTGTTTTCTTTTTAATATTATCTGTAGTTGATTAGGAATTAAAAAATCTTTAAAATATGTTTTGCTTTTTCACTAAACTCAGTTTCGCTTTCCAGTTTAGCTGTGTCAAGTTCTCTAATCTATGATTTAATATTATTTTCAGTATCTGCTTTTTCTAGAAGTTTCTGTTGAAGTTTTACGTTTTCTTCTTTCATGTTCCTTAATTGTCTTTTTAGTACATATATCTAATTCTGTTTTTTATTATATAAACGTTTTTCTGGCAAATAAATGTTGGGTAGAAGTATTCATATCTGCTCCTCTTTAGTATTGCATTCTGTAAAATTATATGTCCAGCAATATCTATGTTTTCTTTCCTGGTCATACTTTTTCATATCATAGTTATTTCTTTTACGTCATCTTTATTTGGCAGTAGACATAACCAGGAAATTACTAAAATTTAAAGGTTTAAAATTACAACTAGGTAGATACAGTTATTTTTTTTACTTTATTTTATAAAACTCAATCATAACTCAAAGTCAATGAATTAACACCATCTTTTTTCAGCTTTTAGGTTGAATGTTTAATGGTTTAGCTTTTGAATAGTTTATAATCTTTCATGCGAAAGTATAAACTACAATGTCTTTTATTAACACAAACACAGGACCACTTATCCTTCCTATGACACTTGCTGATTCATTGCTTTTAAATTTTTACATTTTTTAGGAAATGTAAAAAACATTAAATTCCTTCCAAACTGTTTGGACAATTTTGAAATATTTTTGCAGATTGCTACCCTGCAAATATTTCCACCAGTCATTTAAATCAACAAAAAATATTTAAATTAAGTGATGTTAAATATTTTCCTATATTAATGCCAATGTTATCTTTACTATTTAATACAGCAGAAATAAAATTGATTAAGTAGGTACTTCACGCAACCACATTAATGTATCTTAAAACTTATTTAAGAGTTTTGGGTTTACGTTATATACTAAACAACACTCAATGATATCTTTATACACATTATATCTTAATATATAAAAATAAACAAAAACATTAACGATATTTAACAACAAAATATGTTCTCCAAACCACTGATCATATTCTGTTTCGTAAAATTGACCCCTGGCCCTGGGTGACGTCACGGTGACATACTTCATTCTGTCAATATCATACTTACCATGCAACCTGTCTTTTACTCACCTTGCCTTCCTTCAAGTCAAACGATTTTATTTGTCATACGTCACACCAGTACCGCCCCTCTGTGTAACATAACGAAAAACGAAAACGATTAACGACATTTTGATCATCATTATAAACGCCGCCATATTGTAGAATTACTATTGATCTGATTAGAAAGTTTATTTCTATTTTTTTGGTGCGGTCTATTTTGTATTGCTGCATAATATAAATCTACAATTCCTTATTAATTTATCGATCAGGTAAGAGGTTGTTTTAGTTGAGACCGAAATTTGAGGTGAAATTTTTAATTTTTGTAGCAAAATGGCTGAAGATCTTGACGTCGAAGCTATGTTGGAAGCTCCCTACAAGAAAGATGTAAGTAAATTTTCTCTAAAACGTATTTCTGATTGTCTCAATTTTACTTGTATTTATTTATTTAACAAAGTAATGCAAATGGAAGGGCATATAACTTTCAAACGTAAGGCGTGAATTAAAGACTAGAGATAAGCGGTGGAAACGCTTGTGAATCGATGTGTATTGATATAAATTTCGACGAAACTGCTTAAATATAGTTGTTTAAACATTTTTGATTTGTTATAATTAAAAGATTAATCCTTTTTACTGGTTTCAATGTCACCCATTTGCAATACTTTCTCTTTTTCGATCGTATGTACAATTCTTCTACATCACATGCTAATTTTATATTTTAGAGTTGTGAGATTTTTTCGGGGTAACGGCTCCTTCAAAATACAGGTACAGAACCACCTTAGTAATAAGTTTACTATTTACTTATCCTTAAATTAGGGCTTTCCTTAAATTCCAAAGATTATTACTAATTAAATTAAGATATTCCTCAAAACATTGCAATAGTTTTTGAATACCTAAGCTCATAGCTACTTTCTCGTCATAGGGCTGCTGAAATGGACATCCCCTAGGCAAGGTCACTACCCCAGACCAATCAACCAATTGGTCTCAACTCAAATTAATCACGAGATGGGAGTTAATGGAATGTAAATAATTAAAGTACTTGATATTTTACAAGAGAGGACAACTGGGCTTTTGTACTTTTCACTAAATATTACATTTTTGGTTGGCATTTTTTTAGAATTGTTTATATAGTTTTAAATGATACTTATAGTTGTAGAAAATGTAACTGTGATTCTTTTGAGTAAAAACTAGGTTAAAAAATAATCTTAATTAAAGTTCAGTATGACGGTGCCATGATTCATACATTAATAACATTACATTGAAGGACAGATAACATTGTACTCAAACTGCAATCTGATTTTATGTAGCTTGAACTTACATGTCCAAATCATATGTGTATAGTGAGGGACAATATCTATGCAAAATTTTAAAGACCAACCTGCTGATAATCCGCTATTGATACCTATTGTAACACAGACCCCTAGAGAGACATTACAGAGTTGTACTAACCTTTATCCAACATTTAAATAAATGAAATGAGGTTGAATGCTTGAATAAATGAACTTTGAAAATAAGGCTATTATCGAGCACAAGTTAATTAAATTAGCCAAGTACTTTCGCTTAAATAGCATCTTCAGGGGCATTTCGTCAAAATAAGAACTATCCGGCAAGCGTTAGAATGTGGAAACATTAAAAATAACATAAATTATACAAAAACATTACTACATACAAAAACAAATTACTAAGTGCTACGTATGGTCAGTGCTGCTATATGGCGTAGAGGCTGGACACTCAAACGAGAGATATAAACAGATTGGAAGCTTTCGAAATGTGGCTTTATCGCCGTATCCTAAAAATACCATGGACAGCGAAAATCACAAATATAGATGTCCTTAAAAGAATAAACCAAGAACGCCAACTTTTCGAAACCATCAAGAAAAGGAAAACGGCGTATCTAGGCCACATCATGCGAAATGAAAAATACCAGTTCCTCCAACTTATAATCGAGGGTTAAAATTGAAGGCAAGAGAGGAATGGGACGCAAGAAAATGTCCTGGCTCCGAAACATAAGGCAATGGACAGGGATTAACGACATACAATCTCTGATACATATTGCAAGAAATAGAGAGTTAATGGAAAATGTGATCGCTAACATCCATTAGTGGATTTGCATCTGAAGAAGAAGAAGATACAAAAACACTACACTAAAATGAGGACAAACAGTTTAAAATTAACTCTACGCTACATTCTCTGTCAGTATCAGATAGTTCTTATTTTGACGAAATGCCCCTGAAGATGCTATTTTAAGCGAAAGTACTTGGGCTAGATTTAATTAACTTGTGCTCGATAATAGCCTTATTTTCAAAGTTCATTTAAATAAATATTACTCAAGCAGTGTTGAATTTTGAATTATTAGTTTGTTTAAATGTTTTTACAAATTGATCAGAACAATAGTTTTTAGTAGTAAGCAATCTCGCAATATACTATTAAAAAAGTACTTGCGTTCATCTTTTTTCTAAACTTAGGATTGGCAAAATAAAATATTTTTCAGTTATGAAAATGAGTAGACATTTTGTTTTGTGGGTTCGTCAATGAAGACTAATTATTGATATACACAAAAAGAAGTAAAACTTATTCCAAATCATCGTCATTAAATATTTTTGTGAAATGTTATCAAAAATATGATGTCTTTGTTTATAACATTTAAAAATAATTAAGAGAAATCCTGTGATTGACCTAAATACAAATTTACAAACAATTATATATTTCCGGTAATGGCCAAGTACTTAATAAGTACATTTTCATAGAATAATTGGTGTGGGATCGTTGCCATAATATTTAAATAACAGAATTAGCCAAGCAGTATATTTTGTGGTCCTTTCAGCCAGAGTTTGTTGAAAAAAAGGGTTGTGATATATTTAGTATTTATCAAAGAAAAATATGTGGTGGTCATGGGAAAGTTATGTGCGTTCCTAACGAAACTGAACCTACTAATATAGAATAGATAATTTAGACGATACAGATGAATGTGTGGGGCCAACTACTCAGCAAAGGAAGAATTTGTGAGTAGCTGAGCAAAATATGGTGTTAGATGTATTTGATGGATTTTCTAAAAAAAATTACCAAAAATGAAGCTGTTAAGCAAACAGCGGTTTTAACAAAAAGTTCTTGTGCAAATGTGTACTGTTTAATAAAGACAGGTTCGAAAACTAGAACAACAAGAAAGGATTTGGGAAGCTCTAAAAAAATTCAACCTCACCTCTTGGAACCTATTAGTGAGACAATGCATGCAGCTAAAGTTATGCCTAACCTAAACAATATCATGGCAAAATTAAAAGAAAAACATATTGTTGATGATTGTTCCATAAAGACTTTGGGAAGATTTTTGACCAAAAATGGTTTCAAATATAAAACTGTCAGTGTTCAAAACTGGCAAAATGCAATAGAACATGTAAAGAAGATTACATGAAAAATGTCCCAGCCTTGAAGAAAATTATTATTAATTTGTCTGAGAGTGATAATGATGATGAGTTAAAATAACTGTTAACTCTAATTAAAAGATCCCAAATGAATGAGAATTTCTGAAGTGGCTAGTATACCATATAATAGTAAAAAAACCAATGGGTAACTTTTTGTGGCATCGCATGTGACATGTAAGTAAATACAGTAGAGTCTCGATTATCCGCCCTTCGGTTATCCGCCGTTCCGTTTTATCCGCCGCACCATTTATGCAAAAAAAATTAATTTTGTATAATTTTGAAAATAATCTGCTACACGCCAATGACTGTACACTTAGGAATTTGGTGTCAGGCTGCCAGACAAAATAGATTATTTACCTCCCCGTCCCCAGACCAGTCATAAATACTCTGTTTTTATAACTTTATTACTTTATTTGCTATTTAGTACACTTTCGTCAAATCAACTATTGTTCCTTTCAGTGAGTCATGCACAGTAAGGTTATTTGTTCGCTTTAACCGTTTTGAGGCCCGTACGCTACGAGTAAGAGTTTATTCTTTGCTATCAATCGATCGTGGTTATGGAGAAACAAAAAAGGAAAAAGATTGTCTTATCAATGCAAGACAAACTAAATGCATTAAAAAGGCTTGATAAAGGGGAAACACTGCAGAGAGTGGCTGATGACTATGGTGTTGGTCGTCGTACTGTTGTAGATTTTAGGAAAAACCGATCAGAATTGGAAAAATGGTGTTCTTCACGAGCCACTGAAATCGACTTGAAAGACAGAAAATCCATGAAAAAAAGTGATTACGAAAAAACTAGCGAGGCTTTGTACATTTGGTTTGTCCACTTTAGGGATAAGGGAGTGCCTATATCCGGGCCTATCTTAAAAGAAAAGGCATTGCACTTCCAAAAGCAATTTCAAGAGGGTGAGGCAGATTTTACAGCAAGTGTCGGCTGGCTAGACCGTTGGAAGAAGCGGTACGGGATTCGTCAGCTGTCTATTTGTGGTGAGAAATTATCATCAAACTTTCAAGGAATGGCTACATTTAAGAAATCGTTTCAAGCATTTATTAAGGCGGAAAATTTAACAAATGATCAAATATTTAATTGCGATGAAACAGGCCTTAATTATAAAATGTTACCCAATAAGAGTCTTGCAGCTAAAAGTGAATCAGCAGCTCCTGGCTATAAACGCAGCAAAGAGCGAGTAACCATTTTAGCATGTAGCAATTCCACGTCAAACCATAAGATGGAACTCACAATGATTTTAAAGGCAAAGAACCCCAGAGCATTTAAGGGAATTTCAAGACATGCTCTACCAGTGAAATATTGCAATCAGAAAAGTGCGTGGATGAGCAGTGACATTTTTAAAGATTGGTTCTTCTCGGATTTTGTACCATCAACAGAGAAGTTTCTAAAAGACAATAATTTACCAAGAAAAGCAGTTTTACTGTTAGATAATGCGCCAACTCATCCTGATGAAAGTGAACTAAAAACTGGGGACATAAAGGCCATGTTCCTCCCTCCGAATGTCACAGCTATCTGTCAACCTATGGACCAGGGTGTTTTGGAGACGCTGAAAAGAAACTATCGGAGAATCCTTCTATCGACCATGATATAAGAAATGAACGATGGCCGAGACTTAATCCCTATATTGAAAGCCATTAACTTGAAAGATGTGTCCTACTGGATCTCAAGTGCATGGGATAAGGTTGGGGCACAAACAATTACTAAGTCCTGGGATAAGCTGTTGTGTGAGGATGAAGGAACTGCTGACAACACTTTGGATGAACTTCAGGAAAATATATTGCCCTTAGTGAAACGTATCCCTGGATGTGAGGATGCGTCTTTGGGTGATGTTGGAGAGTGGTTTTCAAGGGATGAACAATATGAAATAACCGATGAAGAAATTGTTACGGTTGTTAATAGTGAAGGTGTTGAAGACATCGAAGAATTAGAGACTGTTGAGCCACAAAAAGTTTCACACAAAGAAGGAGTAAAAATTTTTGAAGCTGCGATAAAATACGTCGAGCAACAAGAGGAAGCCAGAGCTGTCGATATTATGATGCTACAGAGATGGCCAGACTTGGCAGCAACACAACGAGATACATCAGCAAGACAGATGAAAATCACTAGTTTTTTTTCGTTCACCCTAAACCATTATGTCTACAATATCCAATGTAAGTCAATGTTGAACTGATTCTAGTTTTATTTTAATCTTGTTAATATTATTATATACATAAAGTATACAGTACATAATTACACTTTTATTGCACTTAAATAAAGTCCATTGCAATGTTATTACAATAGCCCCAAACTTGTGTTTCATTTTCTACCCTCCCTATTATCCGCCATTCCAGCTTATCCGCCCTTCCGTCGGCCCGTTTATGGCGGATAACCGAGACTCTACTGTATAAACTATTTTTGAAGTTATACTTCTTTAGGCGCAATTGGGAAAAATTGATGAGAGTGAATTTTTATAAAATTTACAATATGAAGTACATGTATATTCACAGCATGAAGTTAGTTGCTACATCTAAATCTTTTAAGTTAGGTATTAATGCAAATAAATTGTGAAAAAAATATATTGGTGTTTTTGTTAATTCGATTATATTAGGATGGTGATATATATTTACTGATGATTGACGCACTTAGAACGGTTAATAAAAAAACTTGTAAATCCACCAAAAGAAAATTTTTATTTTCGTAACTTTTATATTTTTTTTATATTCGTAAATATTTTATTTTCGCCAGTCTTAATTATGAAAAAAGGTGAAGGTAAATTTTTCTAAATACTATATTATGAGGGAGTTTACTTTAAAAATAATCAGTATTTTGATCAATTGGTAAAAACATTTAAGTACACAAATTAATAATTCGAAATTCAAAACTTTCTCCGACAATTTTATTTGAATGTTGGATATAGATCAGTACAACTCTGTAAATGTCTCTCTGGGGGTCTGTGTTACAATAGATTGTCAATATCAAATTACCAGTAGGTCAGTTTTTGAAAATTTTACATAGATCTTGTCCCTCGCCATATAAGTGCTATAATGAACTTCCTAGAATAAATATTCAATTATTGGTTGGTTGCAACAAAATATATATCAAATTTTGCAATATTTTTAATAAAAGTTAGTGAAATGTAGTTATTATGTATTCTAGTCAAAAAAAAACTTATTTAATAATAGTGATCATGATTTTTGTTTATTAATTGGATAAAATATCTTTTTATAGTTGAGAAATTGGTAAAATATAATATTACTTTAGAAATTCGTTGTAATGATAATGGCAAAATACAAAATTTACCATTCTATTGTATTGTACTTAAACAAAGGAAGTAATCGTAAACATTTTATGTATATATAAACATATTTGTTAAATTATTCTTTGAGCAATAACAATCTTCCTTTTAATATGTATTAGTTGGCCAATTTTGCTCTTTTTAGTGGAAAGTATGAAAGCCAAAAGTTATTTTTGAAAGGGTTTTGGTTATGTAATTTGATCTGTATTTTAAAATGATCTAAAATTTAATGTATCTTTTGAAAAAAAAAATGTAAACAATTGAGTTTTTCTCTTATTAACAAACTGTTCTGTGTTTAATGAAGAACAAAGGAAAGAGAAACTATTATTGAATCACTATATTATTGAAATGATAAAACAACGAAAATATAGTGTATTAGAACCTGTGAACAAAAACATAGATATTTAATACAGTACAAACTATTAAATAAAGCTCATAAAATGACTTCATTATATCACTGAAGAGAGTAATTGCTAGAGAAATATGAGCAAAAATAGAAAATATTCTAAAATATGTTTGAATTAATTCATGGCAGATAAGCAGTAAATGTACTTTTCAGTATAAAGGTCCATGCAACACATAGTGTGATTGACACAGATGAATAATAGTCTACAATTGCTGCAATTTGATATTTATGATGATGTCTAGCAGCGAAGAAAATAGGGATACATAATCAACAATAGTTTTTTTTAAATAATCAAAATGCATATTTAACCAAAAACTAGTATTTTTCTCACTTATATACAAAGTTGATTTCTGTTTTTCCATTTTTATATTAACAAAATTAATGTACCACTGACATAAAAAAAATAACTTTGAAAGCTAGTATCGAAGAATCTGTATATAATGTACACATCTGAACATAAAATGAGTATATAAGGTATTATTTTTACATAATTTCATATACTTAGCGTGTACATTGGTACAAGAACTGTTGAATTCAAATTTATAGTAAATAGTAATAAAAAGAATCAGTTGTCTGCTTTAGTAGAGCAACATATTTGTGTTTCCTAGACTCTCTATGTGTTCAAAGCAGTTGATTCAAGCTGTAGGTGATGCAAAAGCATTTTTCCAAACTTTCATGTCTTCTTTTTTCTAAGTCAACTGTATTTTTGTGTAATATAAAGGTATTGTCTGTTTGGCATCTATGAATTCCATTCATTTTGCTGCTGTTTTTGGACATAACAAAATCTAAATGTCTTTTAACTATTTCTGTTTGTTTTCAAAGCTTCAATTTGATCCACCAAATCACTAACATAATGATTTTCAATTTGATAACAGCGTCTACTAAGGATACATGATATTCAAGCAGGTGTTTAGAATGATTTCTTGCTGATGTTTTGTCTAGCATTTTGGCAGATGTGAAATGTGATGTGAAAGTCAGTTGAATACAACTGCACCTGTTGCCATTTCAGCTTTGGTAAAGTGTGTTGTCAAGAAAATTTTAGAATGAAATAATTCAAAACCACTACATATAAATCTGGTTAACAAATTGTTACTACAAAACACCAAATATGATGTTTTTGCTCAAGAATTGAGTAATTTTTCTATCCAAGAATTACAATCTGAAGCACTATCTATAATTATTATTTTCCTTGAATGTTTTCATTATGATTTTCCTTTAACTAATTTATATTTTGAATGATTCTTTATACATTTAATCATAATAGTTGGTACATTAATTTTGAACATCAATTTCTTTTGAAAATCAGTTTCACTTAAATGTTGTAGTATAAATAAATGAATAAAACCAAAACCCTTCATAGATGACAGATACTAGAGAAGGGATATGTCAAATCAACGCCTGTTTTCAGAAAACTTTAGTCTTACGGGGTGTATTTTTTCAGATCAAGTATTTCCACTTCGTTCCTTTGTTAAGTCGACCAGACGGTAAGTCTAGTTCCGGCTAGACAGCATTTGTTTCAGCAAAAACCAATGTGAATCCAACAAATATGATGGAATATGTGTTGATAATTGTAATTACAGAATACAATAATTGTAAATCTAGAATCATGTTGATCGTTTCTCATTACAACTAATAGATTTATGTTAAAATGTCAATTATGTTGATGAATGTATTTTACTTTAGAGAAGTTCCAAGTGGAACAGTGATTTTTGTAATAAGTGCCTGATTTTGAAAAATTAAGTACAATTGACTTAAATTTTTGCTATCCTAATCTCTACTTTCATTGATCACTGTTGTTTCTCAATGTTTTAAGCATTAAGGTACCCTATCTGCTTCCTTTATCTACTTTTACAGTTTTTCCAATTTAGCTTGACCAGTCAGATGTGTAGAAATAATAGTAGGTACTAGTAGGATATTTGGAAAAAGAAAGTATAATGTGCTAAAGGTTTCTATTCTAGTTTTTGTTTTGATTATCCACTGTTTTTTCTCAACATTGGGTTTAAAGTATCCTATCTACTCATCTATTCACTTTAACAGGTCTCCCAATCTACCTGGACCAGAATATTTGAAAAAGGAACTGTAATGGGTCAAATTTTTTCTATATTAGTCCCTCTCTTCATTGTTCACTGTTGTTTCTCAATGTTTTAGACATTGAGGTACCTATGTATTTCTTTTATTCACTTGTACAGTTCTCCCAATTCCTCTTTACCAGTTGGACCCTTACTAGCAGCACTACCATAATTTTTGGAAATAGAAAATGTTGCTGCCCAATTTATTTCTTTCCTAATCTTTTAAATAATCTTGTTAATGTTTCAAACGTGGATCACAATTTCCACTTTTTCAAAATCATTGCCAAATAGAATATGAATCGACATGATTTTAGATATAATTGCTCCATGTTGAGCACAGACTTGTAATCTAATAAAATAAGTTCAAATTTTCGTTATACTTTTATTAATAACGTTTGTTTTTCCTCACCTTGGGGGCATCATCACTTTCTGCTGTTCATAGGATGAATACACATCGTCAAAGTCAAAGGAAAGTCGAGAAATCAGCAAGAAGCGGTCAGAGTAAGTAAATTTTTACTTGTTTTTAATTTGATTTCTTTTCAAATCAATTCTTTGCTATTTTTATAAAAAAATTGGTGATTCGTCACTTAATTACTATAATCTAACAAAAATATTAAACCAAAACTGGATAAAAATGGATAGAGAAAACCATTAAAGAATAAACAACCCCCTCAGTAACTGCATACACATTTCATTTCCCTTGCAAAGACTCTAAATTACATATTTGCATTGTCTACATTCAAAATTCTTCCATAATTGAAGAAACAATCTTCACTAAAGCATCCCTTTTTGATTATCCAATAATCTTTGGCAATCTTAACCCAAAATCATCTCCCCCACCTTTGAAGCAAATCAAATGTTTACTTAAAAGTTTCAATTTTTGCCTAATACCTACAGCTCCTATGGTTATCATGACAGGTATCCCAAATACAACTCAGGAAATATTACTATGTTCCAAAAATATTATAAATCATATCTGTTATAAATATACTTTACAGTAACTCCAGATCTGGACAGTGATCATCTGGCTCTGCAATTCAATTTTAATCCATAGCTTCATCCTAATCATATTACTGAAGTTAAGCTTCCTAAAAGACATGACATTTGTCGAAATTACATTAAAATTTTCAACACTATGTTGTCTCAATTAATAGAAAAAACTTACCCAAGCAAAAGCAATCACCTTTTAATTAAAATCTTCCACCCTTCACTTTATTTCTAATTAAACTAAAGAGACAATTATTCAGTCAGATCCAAATCAATATTGCATATGCATTAAAATGACCATTTAACGAACTAAACAAAAATATTTACAAACTTATATCACTGTTTAAACATCAATGGATCCTAGCATATAAGAATATAAACTGCATGAAGGGTAAAACATACTGGAAGCAAATAAAAAATTCTCCAAATATAAATCATTTAGACAACAAATTTAAGAACTATTACTTGATGCCTAGTGATATAATACGGATGAAGAAAGATGTAATGCTTTTGCAAAAAACCTTGAAGAAGCTTAAGAATTTGGTGAGGACAATAATTTTGATCGAGTTACTTTAGATGAGGTGGATAATTGGTTTGGAAACTTTTATGAGAACAATCATTATCTGAATGCCCTTTGGTTCATCACAGAAGATGAATATGACGAAGCTTTATATAATGGAAAAACACAGCTCCAGGCAAAGATTCTCCATCGACTGTAAAGTTCTTAGGCAACTAGATCGTGGTATACATGAATGATGAAATGATGAATCATTTATTTACTGATGAATGGAAGACGGGTATTGTAATAATTAGTTCTAAACCTAATACTAACCACAAATTACTGTCCAATCACTCTTCTCCCAGTAATAGGAACAATTTTTGAGAAAAATATCCAAGGAAGATTATATAAAGAATTATAACCAACATATTCCAGTACACCAGTTTGGATTTAAGAAATAATCATCAACAATCTATCATCTTTGAATAGTAACATCCAATGTACAGGCAGCAAGATTACAAGGACTGAAGGCTGACATAGTTTTCTTGGATATCTTTTGAAGGCTATTGTCTCCGTTTGGAAGGATTATTATACAAACTTGTCCCCTTCCATGAACTGCTCCTCTTCGCCACTATTGATTGTTGGTGATTTTTCTAAAAGATGCAGGTGTATAGTCAAAAGTAATGGAACATTCCCAATCATTTTCAATACCACAAAGAGTTCCACAGGGTTCAGTGCTGTCTTCTCTATTGTATAACCTCTACTACAGTGACATGTGAAAATGTAGAGTAAAACAGTTTAGAGCTTAATATACAAAAATGAGGAGATTACGATTGAAAGTGTTGGTAATATTTATAAAATGATTTGCAGACTATGGTGGAATATGGTTCTACAATTTTGTATAAATATAAAGGTCCTGAGCTTTTAAAAAATTACTAGAATGCGTCATCCTGATAACCCACTTCATAATCCATCAAATAGAACACTTTACAATCAAACTGAAAAAGAAAAAAAAAACATACAATCCATCGAGCCTTACATTATGAAGATTCCTGAAAACACTTACTGTAGAAAACACTATTTGAAGAAACCCTCTATATAACAAGACAATAAAAAACTTTTTAGTGTCTTTCTGACACTACATAATAGTCTGACAATATTGTAACTACCACTATTTTTATTATTTTTTCTCTTCTGCCCATTTCTCTCTACTTCTAACAGCTCAATGCTTCATTCCACATAGTGAAGTTTTTGTATTCACTTTTGTTCAATAATAATTGCGTTATTGTAGGAAGAAGCGCAGGAGTACCAGCAGAGGACGGAGAAGTACCAGCAGAGGACGAAGAAGTACCAGTAGAAGTAACAGGAGTACCAGCCGAGGACGTAGAAGTACGAGTCGAAGTCGCCGAAGTACTAGCCGTAGTCGTAGAAGTACCAGTAGGCCTAAAAGAAGTAGGTCTAAAGAGAGACGGCGATCGAAAGAGCGCAGGAGAACGCGTTCGGTCGAGAAAAGAAGACGTTCCAGAGATAGAAAGCGTAAATCCGCGTCCAAGGATAGAAAAAGTCGATCGAGGGACCGGCGTAGTAAATCTAAAGACAGAAGAAGTAGATCTAGGGATAAACGTAGCAGATCTAGAGATAGAAAGAAGCGCGAACGGCGCGAAAGAAGTCGCAGTAAAGAAAGGAAACCAAGCCCAAAACGACGTACACCTTCACCTACACCATTCGGTAATAAATATACTAATTGTATATTGTTATTAGTTTTATTAATTGAAACGATGTTTTAGGTAAACCACCATTCCTGAAAAGACCTCGTTCTCCCCTAGGCATACGGGGAACATCACCTTTAGAAGAACTAAGTGCTGAAGAAAGAGATGCCAGGACAGTATTCATTATGCAGTTATCTCAGAGGATACGTGCCAGAGACCTAGAGGATTTCTTCAGTTCAGTAGGGAAAGTACGGGATGTTAGAATGATCGTTTGCAATAAAACGAGAAGATTTAAAGGAATTGCTTATATAGAATTTAAGGATCCGGAAAGTGTGGCATTAGTAAGTACAACTATTAAAAAAAAACTTTTACTTTTTGTGAACAAAAATTTGTAATTTGTATCATTTTTCTTATAGGCTTTAGGCTTGTCCGGCCAAAAACTTCTTGGTATTCCGATAATAGTTCAACACACCCAAGCAGAAAAGAACAGAATGGGCAATTCGATGCCCAATATGTTACCCAAAGGAATGACCGGTCCAATGAGACTATATGTAGGATCTTTACATTTTAACATCACCGAAGAGATGCTAAGAGGCATTTTGAACCGTTTGGCAAAATCGACAGTATTCAGTTGGTACAGGATCCTGAAACTGGAAGATCCAAAGGATATGGGTTCATTACGGTAAGTTTTACCAGATATTTCTTATTCTCTGAAAAATTTTATGTATTGTGGACAAATACATTTGAATATAATTATATTTGTGTCTTGATTGGGCAACTTTTCTTACAGTATCACAGCTGCGATGACGCCAAAAAGGCTCTGGAACAACTGAACGGATTCGAATTGGCCGGCAGACCGATGAAAGTGGGCAACGTGACTGAACGTCTAGATCTACAACAACAAGGCCCCTCCATATTGGATTCGGACGAATTGGATAGATCTGGTATCGATCTGGGAGCGACCGGTCGATTGCAATTGATGTTTAAGCTGGCAGAGGGCGCAGGAATGCAAGTACCTCAAGCTGCGGCGAATGCGTTGAGCATGGCAACCGGTCAACCGGTGATACCGCAAGTACAGACCAACTCGACACCTCCAATAGCCACTCAGTGCTTTATGTTAAGTAATATGTTCGATCCATCAACGTAAGTACCTTTTTTAAATACTAATTCTCCCCTACTACTCCTTCAACCTTTCCTGTCACTATCTTCCAATTTATACATGGTATTCCTCTTCTTGCCTCATGTTTTCTGGTTCACTTTGTCTTTTATTATTAATTTCTGGTAATGTTTCTTACAGAGAATCTAACCCATCATGGGACGTTGAAGTCAGGGATGACGTAATCGAAGAATGTAACAAACACGGCGGTGTTCTTCACGTCTACGTCGACAAAGGCTCACCTCAAGGCAACGTTTACGTCAAATGTCCATCGATAGCCACTGCCGTAGCTTCCGTCAACACTCTGCACGGTCGATGGTTTGCCGGTCGCGTGATCACGGCCGCCTATGTTCCTCTGTTAAATTACCATTCGCTATTCCCGGATGCCATGACCACGACTACTTTATTGTTACCGTCTAGTAGAAAATAATGTGATTATATCAATTTGTTTACGTGGAGGATAATTTGTTAGTAGGTACGTGAGACATTCTCGAGCAATATTGCTTTATTATCACTTGATACCTAGTCTTTTTGAGTGTTTTTCCATTTTCACTCCATAATTAAATACAGTATGAAGTTATTATTTATTTTAAGAAAATAAAAATCTGTACCGATTCCATACGTCTGATTAACAGGTTAAATAAATTTTTCTGTCTGGCATTGGCTGTTATAATCCAAGATTTCAAGAATAAAGATACAATTTGGCAACACAGCTGAAGTAGTTACGTACATTGGAGGGATATTCACTCATTTTTGATGATTAAGATCAACTTTCAAACACTGTTGAGTTCAGTTACCAGTGTATATTGCACTGTCAGTAAAAAAATTGAATAAAGGAAAAAAATATGTATTGTCATCAGTTCATAGAAAAGTGAAGCTTCTACATGTTTTGTAGATTTCAGGTGAATTTTTAGAGCACATAGGAGGTAAAAATCCATGGAATAAAGTTTAAACAATGTTGCCACTTCACGTATAATTCCCTGGTTTTCAAGAAATAGACAATCACGTGCCAAACAGAGAAATTTACATACTGTCCATTCGAGGTCGCGAAATATACTCGAAAATAAATGAGTTACAATTGATTTTTTCTTGATTTCGTCAGTAAACTTGTAAAAATGTTACTAGTAAGCTTCTGGCTTTATTTTTATTAAGTCAAATATCACAAAAAAACACTGAGTTAGTTTAAGTTCCGACGAGTTCAGTTATAGTTCCGACATATTTGGTTTAAGAATGATATTTATGTATTAATTAATGGTTTTTGTAAATAAAATGTTTTATATTTATAATTTCGGTAATTATTTCAGTTAATATTGATTTATATGTAATATAAACCTTTATAATAAATGGTGTTTTATTTCTTTTTTTTAACTACCTTATTTTCATTATTACGCACAAGATCAAATAGTAATTGAAAAAATGGAGAGAGAAGACTTGAAAAGTTCAAAGTAGCCAAAGGATTAACACAAGGAGAATGTTTGAGTTAGCAACAAAAGAAAAATAAGCCTGTTTCGTCTTCAATATTAGCCTCTTAAATTGTCGCACCATATTTTTCTTGGTCTGCCAGGGAGCTTAATGTTATTGGGATAATCGACCCTGTAGAGAAATTTTGACAGACACGAGGTGTCTGTCAAAGAGGCTAAGAATATTTTCTGGATTGTCCGATATAACAGCGAAAGCAGGTATGGTACTGACCCCAGGTTACTTCCTTGTGGAACTCCATCTTTAACTTCTCTTAATCTGAATATGCTTCCTCATATTTAACTCGAAAGTATCTGTCGGATATATATGATTCTAGTAGTTCAGAATATCGTTTTGGCAATTAGCATCTCATTTTATGATGTAATCCGTCATGCCACACTTTGTCTAAAGCCTGAGCTACATCGAGGAAAATTGCGGTACAGACTTTTCCTTCTAGAGCTTTTTCTACTATATCTGTTATTCTATGCACCTGATCTATCGTTGAGTGGCTTGTGCAGGGCAAAGGAACTTCTCGACCAAACATCAAACAGGTTGGAGTCTGGCCTGTAATTCCATTCACGACCGAGCGGTAGGCCATTAAAAATAAATGAATATGCTAGTCACAATCTCTTTGATGTTCTGATACAACTTTGGACAAATGTTTACCCATCGTTCGGTTCATTCTCTCGACCATTCCATCTGATTGATGATACAGGGGTGTCGTTCTGATTGACACCAATCAATTTACAAAACATTTTGCAAAAGGGTTGACTCGAAGTTTCGCCCTTGGTCGGAGTGGATCTTCAAGACCGAGGAAGAAGAATAAGAAAGAATTCTGAAGTATATACAAGTAGATACTCTATACCATTCCTGGTGCACTTTGTGGTGGGAGAAACCGGTTCCAATCAAGGTCGAGGTCGAGGTCGAGGTCAAGGTCGAGGTCAAGATCGATGTCGAGGTCAAGGTCGATGTCAAGGTCAAGGTCGAGATCGAGGGCAAGTCAAGGTCAACGTCAAGGTCAAGTTTGAGGTCAAGGTCAACTTAAAGGTCACGCAAAGGTAAAGTGTAAGGTAACGCAAAAGGCAAGGTAAAGATAAGGTAAAGCGCAAGGTAACGCAAAAAATCAAGTTCAAGGTCACGTGAATGACATTAAAGGTCATGTCATGATCTAGTTCCAAGTCACGGTGACAGTCAATGTTAGGAAAGGTTATTAGTATAATAAAACTCTTAATAAAAAAATAATATCTTCTTAATTATTTATTACACCGTTTTATGCTTTGAAGATAACGCTTTAAACTAAATTTATTTGCATCAGGCCAGTTACGCGAATACAAATCTATTGCGATTTTAACAAAGGATGACTAGTGGTCATTGACTAGAATCTTAAAAATTCAATTTCTTTTCAAATATACATATATACTTTTCGATGTAAATATTGCTGTAAAATAAAACAGTTGCATTAATTTTGGATTGCTTTTCTTTTGAATTCTTATTTGCAGTCAATGTTTTCTGAAAGTGTATTCAATTAAATTTTTATTCTTGTTACTAGACCTTGGTACTTGTCGTCCTTTATAGTTTATTTTATTTTTAAAAATAAGCAGTTCTTGTTTGCAATTTCGTATTTAATTTTTTATTCTTGGTAAAAGTTACTAAACCTTGGTACTTGTCGTCCTTTATAGTACATTTTATTTTTAAAAATAAGTAGATCTTGTTTGCAATTTTTCTCTTTGGTTGGGTGTATATATATATATATATATTATATATTTATATATATAATATATATATATATATTTGGAAGAGAGGTGCATTTACACTATCAGTCTTCGAATAAAATTGAATACTACAAAACAACTACAAACAACAAAATGCCTAAAAATTTAAAAATTCATCAAAACATCGTTGTAAAGAAAGCTAAATTAGATAAAGTTATGCCAGAACTAAAACTGCTGGAGAGTCAACACCAAAAAAAAGCTGTAAGGGTTTTATTATTTTTATATATTATTATTAGATATTATTTTTTTAACTCGCATAAAATAAACCTAAATTGTTTAAACATTCTGTTTTCTATATTGTGGATTTATTTTTTTAAGTTACTTTTTATCTTACTTAAAATCTATATGTTATTATTCGGACGCTATATTAAATTGTTTTAAACATTCTATCTTTCGATTCCATTTTCTAATTAATTATTTCGTAAGTAAAATTGCAAATTTGTAAAATTATGTTGTTGTAAAATCTATTCAAAAGTTTAAATTGTTGGAAACATTCTGTTTTTTAAATAAATTATTATTCTAATATACTTTTTTGTCTTAGATCGATCTCACATTAGAAGACGATATGCTAAATGATATTTTAAAGACAATTGATGTATTGCAGCCTCCAGTAGCAGCTTCAACAACGGAAGACTGGACTGTAAATAGAATAAATAACTTTTCAAAAAGCTTAGAGGATGAATATACAATTATTTACGGTCAGTTTCAGTCTTTTAGTATTTTGAAAGAAAGACTTAGAAGCTGCCAACTGGAGCATGAAGCGATTTTAAAAGAAGAGAAGAAAATTGAGAACGATGCCAAAGAAAATAAAAAAAAGAAAACAAATTCGGAAACATTAATGCAAAATATAAAGGAAGATATGACTAAAATTTTTAGTTCTTTTAAAAAATAATGTATTTTTTAAAAGAACTAAAATAAGTAATTTATGTATGTATATAGTAATTTATTTTTAGTTTTTAGTAATATTTAGTAGTAATAATAGTTTTTAAGTTTCTAAAAATAAAATTTATCTTTCTATATCTTTTTTTATTTATTAATTAAGTAGAAATTACGCAAATTGGTTTTATTGGTTAAAATCATATTATAGTTAACTATCTTAAATGGAAAATAAGTCACAATTTTATTTAAAATAGTTAACTATAAGAATATAATTTCAAATATTATTAAAATCATACTAATTAAATAAATCGTATGTGTTTATATACCTACTGGTAGTTAAAGAATGTGGAAGCGTAAAACAAATATATGCTCTGCTTGATGTTTAAGAACATTAACAGGTTAATAGCAATGGAGTGTTGTGACAAAGCAAAATTAATGGTTCAACATCCGCGAAAACCTTTGTACAAGTTTACAGAAGCAGAATTAGAAAATTTTATCCTACCATACTTTAGAAAATGTGTGGAACCGGTGGAATTACTACGATCTTGGTATAAATTACCCACAAAAGCTGTTCAAGATTTTGAAGTTCAGACTCGTCTGCCATGTTTTGTGCATTTTAATCGTCCTGAGTGGAGAACAGAGCTTGAAGGTTCAGCACCGGCACAATCCAGTTGTCATTTGTGTAAGTCTGCGCTTGAAAATTTAAAAAACATGTATAACAGTGTAATAAATAATTAAGAAGGTATTATTTTTTTATTAAGAGTTTTATTATACTAATAACCTTTCCTAACATTGACTGTCACCGTGACTTGGAACTAGATCATGACATGACCTTTAATGTCATTCACGTGACCTTGAACTTGATTTTTGCGTTACCTTGCGCTTTACCTTATCTTTACCTTGCCTTTTGCGTTACCTTACACTTTACCTTTGCGTGACCTTTAACTTGACCTTGACCTCAAACTTGACCTTGACCGTTGACCTTGACGTTGACCTTGACCTTGACCTTGACCTCGACCTTGACCTTGCCCTCGATCTCGACCTTGACCTCGACCTTGACATCGACCTTGACATCGACCTTGACCTCGACCTTGACCTCGACCTTGACCTTGACCTCGACCTTGACCTCGACCTTGACCTCGACCTTGACCTTGACCTCGACCTCGACCTCGACCTCGACCTTGATTGAACCGGTTTCTCCCACCACAAAGTGCACCAGGAATGGTATAGAGTATCTACTTATACATATACGTCATAGGAATCAGCCAAGTAAGACGAAAAAATAAAGGGCCATTGGAATTAGCGTCAGGAAACACATTCTATTACCGAGGCACATCAACAGGCGGTATTGGATTCCTAATCAACAAGAAATGGAATCCATGAATAGTAGAAATAACTAGTATCTCAGATAGAGTAGCTAGCGTAACCTTATAACTATCAAAGAGATACAATATATAAATTGTACAAATGTACGCCCCAACGAATACTCACACTGACGAAGAAATAGAGGAACTCTACAGTAACATAAATAAAGCATAAAATAACAATCAAAAGTCATTTCAAGTATTATTGGTGATTTTAACGCCAAAGTGGAAAAGAGAAACGACAAGGAACAAGTCGTGGGGAAGTACGGATTCGGTGATAGACATGAGAGGGGAGAAAGACTGGTTCAGGTTACATACTACCAAAACATGTCAATTGCAAATACATTGTTTAAGAAAAAATCAAACAGAAAATAGATTTGGGTAGCAAGCAAATAGAATCACTAAAAATAAAAATTGACTTCATTCTAACCAACAAGATGGCTACAATAAAAGATGTCAGTGTAATAAATAAATTTCAAACAGGCAGCGACCATAGACTAATCAGAGCAAAAATTGTTCTGAATCTGAAACTAAAAAGAATAAAATTAATCACAAAACCAAGAGTAACCGGCATAAATATTAACATTCTAAAAGAAAACTCAGATTACTACCAAAGGACAATTGATGAAAGATTACATGACCAAATCCACAGCTCTCAATTAATGGAAATCGTCCTTGATAGTGCCAAAGCAATCGGAGGCTCGCAACAATAAAATAAACATAGTAAACTGTCTGATAAAACTAAAATAATGCTAAAACAAAGAAGGGAAATGAAAGTAAGTAGCAACATACAGAGAATACATCACACTGAACTTTGTAAGACAATAAGGAAAACTATTAAGGAAGACATAAGAAAGTACAATGA